CAGTTATTAGTCTTAAAATTTTATATTGCAAATATTGTAGTTTTTGTAAGTGAGTCTTCTTTGCTGAACCCTAAACCTGTGAGGCGTATGTCCAAATGGATTGAATAGGTAAGTGTATGTATTTAGTTGTTGTCTTATTTTTAATTTTGATTTAGAAAACAGTGAGCATAGTATTTTAAGTCGCTTATTCAAAGTCTTTCTTTTCATTTTGATGTTTGGTCATCCCCAGGTCATCATTCTGTCAAATATTAGCCCGATGTAGCGTATCCGTTTGAGGAATTGGATTGTTGCTGATATAAACTATTTATTTAAATAAAAATATAGATTTTATCGTTTGTATTTTAAAAAAGTACTTAATATCTAAGGTTATGCTGGGAAGAGAATATTACTAAGTAAATAGTCCATAATGATGGCCGACAGATAACCATCCACCCTCTAATAACTAACGAAATAATCCTGCCCCTATTGAATTACCTTTTCTGTAGTTTATTTTCTTCGGCCGGCGATGGTAAGCTATTAAAGAGGCGGAAGAAGGGAGCCTAAGTGCTATCATGGCCACCTAAATATCCCTTATATAACCTTTTTTTATATATCTCTCTGGCGGTGAGACGTCGTTATGGAGGCCGGAACTCTTCCCCTATTTCCTGCCGTATATTATCAGGAGGAGCAAGAGATCTTCCGCGAGTAACCAGGGCCAGGCCTACCTATCTCTCCATAATTGACTCCAACACTCCCCTTCTTCGTTAAAATAAATTCTCCAACATATCTTATTGCATTTGACCTTATGTTATGAATGAAACTTGAAGGGCCGTTTTCTAGACCTAGGACAATGGAAATTGTGCTTGAAAATGGAGAAATTCAAATTCGCTGGGTTAAAATTATTTGGTAAGATAACTAGAGTATTATTAAGGGAAAAATAAGAAAATTCAGACCCGAAGTCGATAACAGTTGTATTTAAAAAGTTAAAACACTTTCCAATAATAGAATTATAATTGGGTATAAATCACTATAGTTAACTTTGCAAGACTGATAGTCCTTTGCATCATACTCTAAAAATGGTAAAATAGGTTTATAATAACTAAAATATTTGATGAATAAATTTGACTGAAATATATTAGGTAAATATCTCACAAAAACACTGTTATTTTTTAATATATAATATTAATAGTATCAGTAATTCGTCGAAAAACTATCTAGTGCAACAGAAAATTGAATAGAAACAAATGATTTACTATTTTTATGGCTAAGTAAAAAAAAAAATCTATATTGACTTCCGAAAATAGGTTTTTGAATACTCCATGGTACTTTAATTTTGAGATATTTTAGTTCAAACGTTCAAAACACTCGTTATTATTTTCTTGTGTTTTTTTTTTAGTTTTTTTTTTTCTCTTTCCGATTGACCAAGTCGGTGTCGCGCTAAGATACAATTTGAAATAACAGGTTATTACTAAGAGGATGAAATGCTGACCATTTCTCTCGCTTAAAATATAGACGTCCAAATTTTTATTTGTTGATATATTTATCAGTATTTCTCAGTGTCGCGTTATGATACAATTTTGAATAATAGCTTATTGCAAATAGGACGAAACTCTGAATATTTTTCTAGTTCACAGTATGCAGGTCCGATTTTTAGTTTCTGAGATATATTAAATCAAATGTGAAAACACTTTAATTAGTTGAATCGATCCTACTTTAGACGGGTGAGCGTTAGTTATCCAGGCGTATCAATCTCATTCACTACCCACAAAATTGCAAGGCGCTCCTAAAGAAGTTTCACTCCAAAAATTAATATAATTTTCCTTCGTACCTGTCAAAGTAAGGCCTAGTATTTAAACAGTTTATTATTTCCCTTCTTCACAAAGAAAATATAAAAATCTAGAAAAATAATAGCCCTGCGTTAAATTCAAGCGTTTGAGAATTGCCTCAAAGAACCCTTACTTGTGAACTATTTGAGTACCATAGAGTAAGTAGTGACCATCAAAGAAGGCCAGCGCTGCGGAGATCTAGACCGGGCTGATAGCTTTGAGCTGGAGAAGGGCAGCATGTCTTAATTCCATCAGCATTAGCTCCCCCGACCGTACTCAAAGGGACCCGCTTTGGTCCTCTGGGCTATCCGTCTACTTCAGTCACCTCCTCTGCAATTAGGACCGATAATGGATGTTTCGGCTACTTCCCGGGCCATGTTGTTTTATTGAAATGTTGTACAACTTGAAATTAGATTGGAAAGTTACAACGGCAGAGTATATTAAGCAATGCATCTCAAAAATGATATTTAGGTTCAAAAGAATTTGTATTTAAACAAAAGAAAAAAAAACAATTTTCCCATATAGTAAATCAATCTGCCACATTGAAGGACAAGAAACATTTAGCCTAAAATAATTATAGGCCAAATATTTGTTGTCTTTTTTTTGAACGATTATTGTTCATTCAAACAATATCGATATAAAAAAGGGAAATAAATATAAACAATAGAAAAACAATGTTTAAGTAAATGAGAGTTAAATAAAAATAAAATAAGAAATGGTTATTATAGAAATGGATTTTGGAGAAAATGATACCTAATTTATAAAATCGTAGAAGTTACTGAAGAGTGACATAAATACTTTTTGTTTGAATATAGTTGAATGAAAACTTAATGGAATATCCATAAAAACTGATCACAAATTTATAACATTTATTTGTTTAATTTGACTGATTGTATACATACATTATCTTGGAACAGCAATAAAAATACAATTTTATAGCACTTTTGGAAAAAAAAAACTTTGAAGAAATGCACATTATTAAATGTACTTCATAAGCGTTTATGAATGGAAGACTATGAACGATTATAAACTTAAATAAATTCACATTAGTTTAATTACTTTAGAGCCGTATGTAGGATAAAATTAATTAAAAAAAAAAACCGACTACACAAATTGGGAAATTGTTTCCAACCCTGAGAGAATGTACTTCCTTATCTACCGAAATATCTCAGTAGATTGATAGAGAAATTGACATCTACGAATATTTATACTTGGTGTAGTAGTCGAGTTCCTATCAAATTTGAACACTGTTTCTGATGTTGAAATGCACCGATACATGGGAAGAAATATATCTGCCTAGAGCAGTAATATGTAGTGTAAGGAACCCGACTACACCAAGTTCAAATATTCGTAGGTGTCAATATCTCTATCAATCTACTGAACTGTTTCAGTAAATATGGAAGTACATTCTCTTAGCGTGGGTTGAATTTCCCAATTTCAGTAGTCGAGTTTATTTTTTTAATTTACATATTTTTACTTTATTTTTAGTATTTTAAATATTAACAATTCATTTTCATAACATATGATGATTTAAAATCAATTAATAATCGAGATACTGAAAATCTATATAAAAAAAGTTAAGGTTTTGTCTGCACATTGAATAAAATCAACCCGTTTCATGATATATTTCCGTTTCGTACATTACAGCCACCAAATCCACTTTTAAAAAAATGTTTGTCAGTCTGTATGTCCGTAATGTCCAACGAAATTTTGTCAGGAGTAAGCTCAGCAATAACTAATGGCAGACTTTTGAAATTTTGACATTATATTTAGGTTTTCTTGAATTAAAACATAGGCTTTAAATGAAAACAAAATATTGATTAAAACCAAAGTTATGAATTATTGAGTCATTTGTCTAGAGATCCCGGTTAGACAGTTACTTACTTCGATTCTAATCCCAACCTACTCTACCGAGAGCCACATTTAAAAGTTTTACCGTTTAATTGATGTAACAAATTATCACAAATCAACGATAAAAATCCAAAATCCCGAACATCTGTAACGCGTTGTCACTTAAAACACACTCATTTTTAAACTTGTCCCATCTCCCCGTTCAACATCTCATTCGATTCAACTTACCGAACCAAAAAAAATTTATATATATTTTTTTAGGATTAATTAAACTGATTTTGCCGGAAATCGAAAAAAGAAATTCACCCTTCCCGCCACAATATTCATATTAACTTATAATCTTAGAAGGATGTTTGTGACTCAATATCAAATGTTATTTATCTAGCGATAAACTCAGATGTAGCTAATGGTAGACTTGAAATTTTCACATTATAGTTAATTTTTTTTTTACGTAAAACAGACTTTGAGTAAAAAAAAATATTGAACAGAACCAACATTATGAATTATTGAGTCATTTGTCTAGAGAAAGGGCTAAAAAAACAAAATCCATAAATTTGGATCCACCCACAGTACAAAATCCATTCCAAAACAATATTCTCAAATTTTAACTATATACCCGTCAACAATGGATACATCAGCTAGTATAATAATAAAAAATGTCAGTATTTTGAGCTTCAATTGTTTCAAAACACTCAGGGGAACTCACAGAATAATTTGAGCGAAATTTAAAAATCGATCCAGCCATTCACTCAAAAAATGGTTGCATATCTTTTAGCAGATGGCTAAAATACATAATCCTCGTTTCGCTTTGCTTAGTCAGACGATGATTAAATTTCATATTATATATAATCGGTTTATTAAAAAAAGCCATAAAGGGACATTTTAGAAAATTAAATCAAGTAGATGTTTGATCAATTTTCCTTTAGGGAAACCACATGATTCTTCGCTTTAATTATAAAATATGAATTCCTGTATTAGTATTTACTATAAATGAATGTAATTTGATGATGAAATATGGAACTTATTAAATGAAAACGTTTCAGAACTCTTTCTTTATTTATCCGCTATAAATACATGAGACCTAAAAGTAATTGATTCTGGTTGGAAGGCAGTGATTTAGCTTTCCAAGAATTTTATTAACACTCAGTTTCGAGATAATCCTGAGGAATTATGAATGTTTTAGTTAATGGGAGACAAGAAAATCCTCCAGGAAATTTCTTTTTCATTAAAAAATATACTTGTTTAATTAGTGAAGTGCAAAGAAAGTCCAAATTATTGGTCGAAGTACAGAAAATTCTCAACATCTTTTTTATTTACACAGTTTCCAAATCTTATAATAGTATATTTGAAAAGCATTCAATTTCCATTAATCTTATTTGTTGATGGTTACAGGTTCGATGGTATACGGACTCGATGAGGCTAGAAAACACGGAAAGGATGCGAATGGAGAACAGGGGTAGCCGATACACTTTGATAATCCGCGACGTAGTGGAAGCAGACTTAATCACCTACACTTGCCAAGCAGACAACAGCCAAGGAAAGACCAAGAAGGATATCGTACTCTCAGGTGAGTGACAACTTTCTTTAACTATTATGCTTTTTCGCCATCACATTCCAAAGTGATTTCATCTCATTTCAAATCGGGGCTTCTAGTACTTGCAACTAGAGAATATGATTCATAAAGTCAAGCGCGCACTTAAACGATCATGGTGTATTTTCTATATAAATACCTACATTTGTTTAATTTAATACCAACGTTGATTAACCCTATCTTTTAAAATAGGGAATAAGATTTTATTATTATTCATAATTCATATTTGTTATTATTCATACTTATTACATTATTCTATCCATTGGACACTGGCTTCAGTGAGGTAACATCATATTCACACTATATGTACAAAAATATAAAATAATTAGAAGCAAAATAACAACTAAGTAATTATCAACAAGTATACACTGTGAATGTAATAATTAAATTTAAAAAAAGCAAATTAAAAAAAGCAAAATTGGATTTGGATGATACATAAGGTTCTGGTGAAATTTGGAGAATGTTTCTGGTATAAGTTAAGGTAAAAATAGGATGTTAAGGTCATGGTGTAGGGTTTTTTGGTTATATAGAAACAAGAATCGACTTTTATTCAAAGGACTTTGGACTGGAAGGATTGGATGCGTTTGATGTCAGAAAAATTTAGTGTACCTCGAAATTCAAGTATCTAAGTCCAAATATATTTCAGAAATTTCTTTAGAACAGTAATTTGTTTTCAATCGAAATAAGAGAAAAAAAAATAGATAGAGAGAACTTACTTCACTTACTGTGTCGTTACGATTTTTAGAATACTAGTATAAAATATATTAAAATATTCTCGTCATTGACGGCTAATATTTATTGAAACGAAAAAAAATGTTCATACGATCAGAGGGCACTATTAAAAAATTACAAAACCTCGAGCCTTTGAAACAGCAGAAAATAACCAACCAGTGGATAATTCACCAACCCATTGTCAGCATTGCTAATAATTATAACATCATAGAAATAAAAAAACAAGTGATAACATATCTCAAGTAAATAGCCATAAAACAAATTTAACAATATAAATATTTCTCTGTATTAGACTTGCGCCATTAATGTTATTTTCACTTTATACACTCGCTTTCGAAATCTTAAAATATGTTTACCGTGAAATCTGTAAAACAAGTCTACACATTTTTTATTTGTTAAATGAAGCATTTATCAAAACTATACCCATCCAATGGCAGCATGATTAACATGTGTACTGCCAAATCAAATGCTATTATATCCTAGTATTGGAATAGACGAAATTTACATTTCTCATTCTAAGACTGTGGATTTTTTCTTTTTTTTAAGTGAAAACTTTTTTAAGGCTTGTTTCCCACTTTATTTTATGGATAGTGAATGAAATGCAGCTGTCAGATATGGATGTGCAACGCTCATTCTGGTAATGTTGGCTCGAATTGAGTATTGAAGTGTTTTTTTTTTTTTGTTTTTTTTAAATATCTCTGAAACTAACTAAAAAGAAATTTCATATTTTTAATAGGCTATTAGCTCAAATTGTACCTTAACGCGAGGCTGTACTGTGGTTGAAAGAAGGAAAAAAAATATTTTTTTAAGGTATTGGATGTTATTATTATTATTGCCACTCATATTTTGTAGGTTATTTTTATATTCATCAACAGCTATTGCAAACGATACATTTCGTGAAAAAATAAATACTTATTCGTATTTTTAAGTGCACAATACTATTTTGAAAAATAACTAAAATAAAAGGAAAAAAAAAATTGTGATCCATAACTTTCGATCGCTACCAACCGCAAATTTATCAATTATTTTTTGATTAAGACTATAATTCTAATAATATTTTAAAACAAATTTCTGCTGCGCACACCTGCGCACAGTGGGAGAGATAAATAAACTAGGAGGAAAAACTATAACATTTGATATTTATTATATTTATCTACCACAATATAAAAAGCACGGAAATACATAAGAAACAACAATTAAGTTTCATTTATATTTATATAAATTAATATTTAAAATGAACAATATAAAATTTATATGATATTGTTTGAAAACTACACTTGTCAATGGTGGATCGTATACAGATATAGGCGAAAAGTATTTTAAAGCACCAACTAAAAAAAATAACCATATTTTAATTAAAAAGTATTTAAATGTTTAATTAAAATTCAATAACATGATGAACTTGAGAAAAAATATTTTAAATATAAAATAAGCAAAGTATTTTAATAACGTACAAATACAAAGTACAAACAAAAATATCTTTAAAAAGTGGATTTGATCTGGCGAGGAAAGGAGTTTTGAGATTAGAGGACAGTTGATATACTTATAAGGTATTAAATCATTTTATTGAATTAATATTATTTTTAAACAAGTTATAATAAAAGTGATGCTGAACAAATTATTTAATTTTAAATATTTCCTGAGTTGTTACATAAATTAAATCCTTCATATTTCTTTCCTGAAACTTATTTTAAAAAAGCATTTCAAGTATTTTTCCTAATTGAACATCTTTCTGTTCACAACAACATTACTTGTTGATTTAACAAAATGTATTCTTGTACCCTTCCCTATGATAAGACCCTACAGTCCTTAATAATTTTTTTTTAAGCTATTCAATTGTATGCACATTGATAATCGTGTTATAAATTTAACTCAATCAACCTTAAACAATTCCTAAGCTCGATTTTCACATGAGACAATTATCATACATACAACCAGACTTGATGCAATACTTAAAAGACCAGCTCAATTTGGTAATTTAATTTGTACATTTCAAAACATTTTATTTTGTAAGTACAAAATGAAATGCATTTTTTGTATTTTAGTAAAATAGAAGGTGGGGGGAGAGAAATACTTTTTTGTATTTTGTAATTTTTAAAAAATACAGGTTCAAAAACAGTATTGTATATTTTTCTTCTTAAGCTAAATAGGAAAAGTGTATTTTATTTTATAATATTTTATTTGAAATACTACTCAGTTCTGATTCAATACTTCGATTCCAGTTGGCGTGGTGACATCTGAGACTTCTGTAGCGAACTCAATTTCGTCTGCGCCTCATGTGTCCATTACATCTTAAACTTTATTGATCATATCTTAACAGGGCCCCCAATGTTCAAAAAGGGAGTATTTAGCGAAGTTATAACACCACAAGTACTCAAATTGTATTGTATTGTATCTTGCCAATTCGTTTAAATTTTGTCCACTGTCAATTTGAGGAAAATTTCTCATTTTTCCTGCTCGAATAACATTGCTAAATTTCGTTAATTATAGGGTATGAATCAGTATGTTTTTTTTTTTTTTTTTTTGAAATTCCGAATATTATAAAAGATAATCTCTCAAAAAGCAGACGAAGGCAATCCACTCATTAATTTTTTTCTAATATACCTACTTAGTAACGTCTGAGAAAAATTTCACTGAGGTATTGACGGGTATGTTTTAGTAAATTAATTTTGAAGTTATAAAATTACTTATTTTAGAGCATGTAGAAATAAATAAGTTAATTGGTCAAATTATGTGTTGATAATTTGATGATTGACTTAATTAAATACTAGATCAACTATAGCTATCAAATAAAAATGATTATTGTAAACAAATAAAATTAACTAGTGGTTCTGAGCTCAAATGAAAAATAAGACCATGAAAACAAAGCATGAGTTGTTAATAATCAGTTGTTAGATGGTTCTTTTTATCGTTGGAAAACTCTAAAATCAAAACAATTGATAATTATCTTCTAATTAAACATTCCTGTTTTATTTCATTACGTTAAATTTGAAAAATTTCATTATTAATTTTTCCACCTATATTGCTCATTCGTCCCACTCTGCTCAGCCTATAATTTAAATGTAATGTAATTTTTTAAATTGAAAAACTTTTTAGTTTATTTATGAATGAGCGTCTATTTGAAATAAAAATATTATTGACCCGAAAATAAACAAGTATATAGTGTTAAGTGTATTGTTATGTAATATGTATATAATTGCATCTGTTTTGTTATATTTTTAGTTAATCATTGAGTCCTAAAAATATTAATTAATTATTGTAAAAAAAAAATAATGGCTTGGTTTTATTTATTCACATTAAAAACCAAAACTTCACTGAATTTGTATTATACGATCTTTGTATTTTATTTAAAATATTTCTCTTCGATATTAAAAAAATATATATAAATAAAATAAAAATTAAATTAAATAAAATGTTTTTTTTTCAGATTTTATTCATTTCTAATTAAAATCAAGAACTTCGACATATTCTTGTCGTATAGTACATAACTTAGTACATATTTAATTATTTAAATATTAAAAATAATTGATTGTTAAAAAATAATTTTATTGAATGAGTTTCTGGTACCTTTGTTGTTGTTTTATTTATTTCATAAAGTTGATAAAAAATTTAATTTTTTTTTAAAGAATAGGCAACTCATAAATTGACTTTTTATTATTACTGTAAAAACTTTGTAAAGTACAATAATACCTCGCTTATTCGTCCTAGTCAGAATCAGGAAATGACAGGTTAAAATGACATCTGAACTTGTTTGCGGAGTTCAATACAGATATTCTTTTTAACGAGCCATAAAAATAAGAAATAAGAGCTTATGTGTTTCTATTCGATTTCCTGTTTTGGTCGATGGAGTTTCGACAAATTACTGACCCTTGTTACAGAAGTTGAATTAAAAATATGAGGGAGTTTTTAGTAGGTATTTAGCAAATATATTTTAATCAAATGCATTTATCCCATATTTTAGTAATCATAAACCTACTGCATCATTTTTTGACAGATAAATAGACAGAAACCAAGATCAGTCAGAGCAAAGTTTACAATAGTAATTTATTTAAAACTATAATAGAATATATTGTAAGTTTCATTACTTTGTGAATATAGAACAAAAGAAAATTATATTTCATATTATTAATCTCGCCTTGATGTTTTTTTTTTTTTGTTTTTTTTCAACTTTTGTTCATTGCCCGTTGTTGTAAAATTTAGGACACTGTAGAAAGTTTCAATTCAATGGGAACCTGTTGAAGTAA